TAAGGTATGAGTTAACCGTCCCTCGTATAAAAGTATGGAAAAAAAAGGATATCCTACTTCGCAGCTTGAATGCCTTCCCATGTAGACGCCAATTTTATCAAGACACGTTCTTTGTCGATACCAAGTTTGGCATACTGTTCTATTAATGAAAGTGACTTTGCAATGGATGCTTCAACATCAAAGGAAAGCCTGAAATTATGTTCAACGTACAATAGCTAAAAGCAGGAAGACAACTGAGTGGCTTGCCACATCATACCCTTACCAAAGATATAAAACTTTTCAAGAATTTTCCAAAGACTGGGAAACCTTTGCAGGAATAACTGAGCGAGGTGTAAAAATATTTCACGATGCCGTAACTATCATATAGTTGGCTCTCAAAAAATTTGAAAGATCTAGAAGGAAGTCATGATTGCACGAGAGTTGAAGAACTGTGTCACAGAAAAAGGGGAAAAACTAAGTGGTACTATTCGATTGTCTAATACATGTATACCATCAATGTAAGCGCTGAAAGAGTATTGTAGTATGCACGTGCACAAAAAGTTAAGCAACTTTATATATAGCATAATTTAACCTATTAACTTATGATGTGAAAGCAAAGGAAGTCTCCTTTCATCTCTTTAAACGACTAGAGATCACAAACAAACCCTCTTTCAAAATCAATCTTTGGACATAAGAAAGAAAACTTACTGTATCAAAGATTCAAGGTAATTCAATTGATCTGTCACACTATGTTCTCTCACTCTTTTTGTACAACAATTGTGCGTGTATGATAGATTGTGTACGAATTCGATAAAAAGGTGTACTAGGAACACTTTTAATCTATAACTTCTCATCATCAAAGAGAGAGAAGGCGATATAATGATCTACTCTCGAACCTTTCAAACAATTCAAATAAACAGTTGGAAAACTAGTTCCCAAATCTAATCTTTTCCATAATTAACGCTATATCAATCATAGGATCAATTTATGGAAAACGAATGGCAAAAAATTAGAAATGAAA